GCCAATACTGAAGAAGATGATGGGGACGTGCACGATGATGACGAAGATGAGGATGAGAATAATGACGATGACGACAAGTAGTATTTTCTATTTTCTAGTTTAATGTTTCATGCAATTATTTATTAGTAAACTATTTATTTAAGTTTAAAATTGTAATACCTATCTTTTGTGACCATGTATCACTTTGGAAGATATAAAATGATATGAGGCGAGTAAGAGAAATAATGCATGGAGTTACTTTAAATTGAGAAATCCTACTTCGTAAAAGATAATTGAGTAATGCTATATAACTTGTTGAGAGGATTCTGTGGATATACAAATCGTCGAAAACGGAGTTCGTATGAGAAAACTATGACTGTTTGAAGTTTAGATGAAAGTACTTTGCTATTTTGAGAAAGTCAACAAAAATCAAGTCAATGGTCAAACCATTGACCATCACGACATCAAGATACATTGTCACGACATGACAACATGATCCTCACGACGTGAGGGATGCTTCCTCACAACGTGACAAAGGTTGAGTCACCAAGACAAGCGGCGAAAGAGTACGATACGTGGAAGAACCGAACTCTTTTGATTGTCACGACATGACACATACATTGTCACGACGTGAGACCTTTCAGAGTATAAATATGAGTTTTTCATGTCATTTGATAAAATTCAGCATGCGTGATCGGAGATGCTGTCCGTGAATCATTTACAAGACATTATACTAGAGGAGTTATACCGATATAAGGTCGAGTACGAGATCTGTTGAGGTATATTTTACCCCGTTAATTAGTAATTGTGATATATGATTATTGTTATATATAATAGAGTCGAGTATATTATGGGTAAATATATGGTGGTGTTATGAACCCATTGATAAGATTTGAGTAGATATTATGATTAAAGATATAGCCGAGACTGTAAGGGTTATAAACCCGATTAACCGAGAATTAACCGTTATGAGACATTTAGCAATTGGATTACATGTTAAGCCTATTATGTTAATATTATCGGATAGGATTATCGAGGTGACGAGAAGTCACGGGGTATTATTGTTAATGAGTTGAGACAGGTTCTAAGGAACTTGTTAATTGATGAATATGTGTTACCATGTGACGAGCTGATAGATAGTGAAAGAGCAAAATCAAGACTACAATAAGTCTATAGACTAATCACGTGAACAATACTATTCTAACATCCATTGATATGTTATCTGTAATACACCTTACATGATTTATATAATTTATTATTATTGAGTAATTGATTGATATTAGAAAGATTGATTATTTTGAGAAATTAGTATTTGATTGAAAGATTGATCTTGATTGAGAAAATCATTATTAAATGAAAGATAACTTATAAATGAGAGGTAGATCTTTGATGAGATAGATTATAGCTGAGAAATGGATCACCTTAAAATTTAGATCATTTATGAGTAATTGCTTGTATTTGATTTGTGATATATGTGATATCTACACTATCTGTGATATACAATATGTGAATTATACTGAGATTTAAATAATTGTTTATTGTTGAGAAATATATTATTATTGAGAAAGTATTCACTAATTTGATTTAGATCATTATCGACAAATAGATTATAACTGAGAGATAGATCTTCATAGAGAGATTGGTTCCTATTGAGAGAGACACGTCATGATATATATATATATATATATATATATATATATATATATATAGAGAGAGAGAGAGAGAGAGAAAGAGATCTTGAATAAGAGATCGATCACGATTGACATAGATTACGATTGAGAGTTTAACCTTGAGCGAGAGATTGATCAATGATAGAAAGATAGACATCATCACTAAGAGATAAATCACACACGGACACATACAAACACAGATCATTGTTGAGAAACGGATCATTATTAGAGAACTAACTACTCTTAGAATTGATAAGAGGATATGAGAATACCACTAATAGTCATAATATATTTGCTATATATTAGTAATGATTATTTGGTTGCGATATATGTGATTTATATGATTATGTTTTAGTAGTTGTTATTCACTAAGCCGTGAGACTTATGTTGTTATAATGGTTTATTTTGCAGATATATTATTTGTGACGTCTAACTCGATTCTGTACTTGAGGCCAATACGATCATTGTGATAACTACTTTTATTCCAGAGTGCTAATGTACACCAAAATTATTATAAAATTTTAAATGAGAAATGAAATTTTCGGGGTGTACATTAGCACTCTCGAATACAAGTAGTTAGTATAATCAATGATCATACCCTTTACTATTAGTATAATGTTTTCCAAAGTTGCCATAGAACGATAATCAATTTATTATGAATCGATATTTTGCTACTGTCGAAAAAACCGGACTTTATGGTGGTGAGAAGTCTAATGCGATGATTATTTTAGATGAATCACATGTCATTTAGTCTTGTTTTCTAGTTTTGTTTTGGTTCTATTTTTTTTTTTTAGCTTTTTTTTGGTCAACCACTATATACGATATACCAAAGTTATATATATATATATATATATATATATATATATATATATATATATATATATATATATATATATATATATATATATACACACACACACACTAGCATAATATGATATATAAAAATGAGGTCCTATAAATTCGGAGGCCCTAAACCATCATCCAAGTTGCCCCACTCATTGGCACGACCCTGCATCATCGAAACAATTGTTATCTAAAAAATAGATGTTCGAGACGGATTGTCAAGAGGATGAAGTAAAATTAATAGAAATCAACTATTATGGTCTAACTAAATGGATAGCGTAAAACTAAATCGAGCGGGACAACTCAAAGACAAACAAACATTGGTGAATTGTGACATTGTGTTTTAGGTATTGACACATATATTCATACCTTATAACTTTCTTCTATCATGTAAAGATATACACTATTTGGGTGTGATGATAATTCATCTACGTACCTTAAAAAAATTTCTTTTATCATGTAAAAATATAAATTATTTGGATGTGATGATAATGCAAACGCATACACATGCACATGTTAGAAACCAAAGCTAGGGCAACCTTTCCATTTTTTGGGTACTATGGTATAGGACCCCTATGCATATAGTCATTACCTACTTTCTCATTGTGTGATTGTTGGTTATCCATTCTAATACTTTCTTTTAGGTTTATCAAAAAGTCTACTACCAAAACAACCTTAAACAATGAATGGCTAAACTTCTCTTTTGTTTCCCCAACACTATGGTAAATCATATCAAGCCTTATGATCAATTTCTAAATCTTTCTATAAAGTTGAAAATTTGCAAACCACTCTTTACTGTTTTGTAGATTTCATTGTATTTATTTATTTTGTTATAAAAAAGGCTGTATTTAGAGGACCAAAATTTATACAATTTAACTTTGTCACATCCACGATTCAAACAAATTATATCTTAATATGCAAGTTAAATAGGTTGTATTTAGAGAGGACCATTTATGTTTTTCCAAATGTTTCTCTTTAACTTCATCTTCTTGATATTAAAAAACAAAAATGAGTGTGTTCATGGTCCATGTTATTTGGAAAAACATAAGTTTACTTTATTTCAAAAGATTTACATGTAAATATTTTGTTATATTATATACATATTCGACGTAACATCTCTCTTGTTAATTAGAGAAATTAAATATCTTTTTGTTTGGGTTGTATTTGGCATGTCACAGCTAATTGATAAACTAATTTATTTTTCGAACATTTTTTAAGTTGTCATGTTTGACGAATCAAAAAGTAGTTTATAAGCTAGATAACTATAACTTAATATGTTATAAAACTAGGTGTGAAACCCGTGTATTACACGGATTGATTTAAAAAAAATAAACATTATTAAAATGTAAACAAAAAATATTTTTTAATATATAATTTTAAAATAAGAAACGAAGAATACAATTTAATATCATATATATGATATTTAACATTTTACATATGTAAGTATGACTTTAATTTTAAAAATTAAAACAAATCAAAAATTGACAAGTGGATAATATTTATTTCAAAAATACTATAAAATGACAAGTATCAAAAATCATGAGAGATTGACATGTATAAAAAAAACCTTCATTTATTAAGAAGGACTAGATGTGAGACTCATGTATTACATGAGTTTATTTAAAAATAAAATAAATATGAAATTTTAACAATTTAAATTTTTTTAATTTGTAAGTAAAATGAGAAATTTTTTGAATTATTAAAATTAATGAGGATTTAATGTATTGAATACATTACATATATACATCATTTTTAATAAATAACTTACATATATATTATCTTACATATTAAATGTGAAATTTTAATTTAATAAAATGAAAAATACAATAAAATGACAAGTAGAAAAAAAAATTTAAAAATTTTACAAAATAACATGTGTCCAAATAAATAAAAAGATGATATATGGCAAAAAAAACTTTCATTTATTAGAGTAGATTTTCTTATTTATGAACCGTATTTATTTTATTCCATTTTTATTAACATAAATAAAACCAAGAACAGTAACAAGTGCAATACTTTATTTTAAAACAAAAGAAAAAGATATGTTAATTCCGTTTGTTTTCCTTCTTTTATTTAGGTCACTTTTGACGATGGTTGACCTTTTTTATTTTTATATTTGGATTTAATACATTAGAAAATTAGATAAAATCAATTTTTAACATACATTTGGTTTTTAATTAATAAAAAGTTGCCAAATAACAGTTGTTATGATAGCGTGTTAGGATTTTGTTTTCATAGCTAGCAAAACATTTTCAAGTTATGTTACTTATTATATAAAAATGTAAAACAAATAATATAAGCGTTTTTATTTTCCTTAAAATTCTGTTTCTCCTCTCCCTTCGTTATCGCCGTTCTATAGGTTTGTATAAATGCTCTTTTTCCCAAATCACTGATTTTATACCAAAAACAATGCTACACTCGTCATCTCCAACAAACAAACCCTATCATCATAATTACGAACAATTTTCCAAATAACCCAATTGAAATTCTTGGTTTTTCTTCAGAAAAATGGAGAAACCCGATGTGGGTTTCGAAATCCGGCGTCGATTTCTTCCGTTCATCCTGATTATCTCGTCTGTTTCAGTCATCAATGTCCACTCTCAGTCGAGTTCTAACGATGCTGTTGTAATGCAGGCTCTAAAGAAAAACCTACAACCACTGAGTTCACTCGACTGGTCCGACCCCAATCCATGCAACTGGAACAATGTCAAATGCTCCAAAGACAACCGGGTCACCGGAATTCAACTCGGACACCAGAATCTCAAAGGCAATCTCCCTCAAACCCTTAATAACCTCACTCAACTCCAGGTTTTGGAGTTTCAACACAATCAACTCACCGGGCCACTCCCGAGTCTCTCCGGGTTGACTCAGCTCCATAACCTCTTACTCAATAACAACAATTTCTCTTCAATTCCCATCGACTTCTTCGACGGTATGTCCTCTTTGCAGAATATTTATCTTGATTACAATGCTTTTACTGCATGGTCTATATCGGAAAATCTAAAAACTGCATCCAGTTTACGAATTTTCTCGGCCACCTCTACTAATCTCACCGGAAAAATCCCGGATTTTTTCGGTGCTGATACCTTTTCCGGGTTAATTACTCTTCGTTTAGCTTCGAATTCTCTGGAAGGCGGGTTACCCGATTCGTTTTCGGGTTCTTCAATACAGAGTCTTTGGTTAAATGGACAGAAAAGTACTTTTAGGCTTAATGGCAGCATCGACGTTCTACAAAACATGACACAATTGACTGAAGTGTGGCTTCACACAAACTCCTTTTCGGGTCCTTTACCTGATTTTTCACGCTTGAACAAGTTACAGAATTTAAGTTTAAGAGATAATAGCTTCACAGGCCCGTTCCACCATCTTTGTTAAGTTTGAAGTCTTTAAAAACCGTCAATTTGACCAAGAACATGTTACAAGGTCCAACGCCTAAATTCAGTGATTCCGTTGCTGTAGACATGATCGGAATCGAGAGTTTTTGTTTGCCTAATCCCGGAGTTCCTTGTGATTCCCGTGTCAATACGCTACTTACAGCGGCGGAATCAGTAGGTTACCCTCGAGTTTTTGCTAATAATTGGAAAGGTAACGATCCTTGTAATTCATGGATGGGAATAAGTTGTTCAAACGATGGAAGCATCACTGTCGTTAATTTCCGCAAAATGGGTCTCACGGGTACCATTTCATCAAACTTTTCTCAAATTAAATCGCTACAAAGATTGCTTCTTGCAGATAATAATCTCACCGGAGTTATACCCAATGAACTCAAAGATTTACCTAATGTTATTGAAATAGACGTCTCAAACAATCATCTTTCCGGTCAAATCCCACTTTTTAGAGAAAACGTAATTGTAAAAACCGAAGGAAACACCAATATAGGGAAAAATGGCCCTACTGTTACAGCGATTCCACCTTCTAATGGTGTATTCGGCAGTGGCGGCACTGGTGGCAAAACTCCGGGCACTCTGGTGGTTGTGGGGTCTTTGATTGGTGTTGTTTGTGTGGTTTTCTTGGCCGGATTGTTAGCTTTTTGTGTTTACAAAGCAAACAAGAATCGTTCTAGTTCTAGTGGTCCCGGTAATCCGCCATGTCAGCATACAATGGTGATCCACCCCCGCCACTCGGGATCCGATGGCGACAGGGTCAAAATCACGATTGCTGGTCAAACTAACGCCGGCGGGTCAACCGAAACGAATAGTCATCATACAAGTGGCGATGTGCACATCGTTGAAACGGGCAATATGGTAATTTCAATCCAAGTTCTAAGAAACGTAACGAACAATTTTAGCCCCGAGAACATCCTCGGAAAAGGCGGATTTGGAACGGTTTACAAAGGGGAATTACACGACGGAACCAAGATTGCGGTCAAAAGAATGGAATCAGGAGTCATGAGCGAAACCGGAATCACCGAATTCCAATCCGAGATCTCCGTGCTCACCAAAGTCCGGCATCGGCATCTCGTCGCCCTTCTCGGATACTGTTTGGATGGAAACGAGAGGTTACTTGTGTACGAATATATGTCTCAAGGGACACTTAGTCAGTTTCTATTCAACAAAGGGAATGAAGATTTGAAACCGCTTTTATGGTCTAAAAGATTGGTAATTGCTCTTGATGTTGCTAGAGGTGTTGAATATTTACATGGTTTAGCACAACAAAGTTTCATTCATCGCGATCTTAAACCTTCTAATATTCTTTTGAGCGATGATTTTCGCGCGAAAGTTGCGGATTTTGGACTCGTTCGCCTCGCCCCAGATGGTAAAGGCTCCATTGCCACTAGATTAGCGGGTACTTTTGGCTATCTTGCACCGGAATACGCAGGTATAATTACAATAATTATAATTAATTAATCAATCCGCTATCGTGCACCGCTATCTTGCACCTGTTTCTTTGTTAAGTCGTTCTTTCTGTACTAAGTTTATAGAAAACAGTTAAAGGATAATAAATGACGATTTTACCCTTGTGTTTTAGTGACGGGTCGGGTGACAACGAAGGTGGATGTGTTTAGTTTCGGGGTGATCCTCATGGAGCTAATCACGGGGCGACAAGCACTGGATGAAACCCAACCGGAAGAAAGCGTGCATTTGGTTCAATGGTTTAAAAAAATGCATATAAACAATGATACATTTAGAAACGCGATTGATCCATCACTTGAGCTTGATGAAGATGGTTTAGCCAGTGTGACCACGGTGGCTGAGTTAGCGGGTCACTGCTGTGCCCGTGAGCCGTATCAGAGACCCGACATGAGCCATGCGGTCAATGTTCTGTCATCTTTGGCTGAGCTATGGAAACCGTCTGAACCAGATCCTGATGATGTTTATGGAATTGATCTGAATACAAGTTTGTCTCAAGTGGTTAAGAAGTGGCAAGCGATGGAGGGAATAAGTGGGTTTGATCATTCGGTAGAGAATTCACAAACAAGTATTCCGATTGGGCCTTCTGGGTTTGGGGATTCGTTTATGTCGCACGAGGGAAGGTGAGATTTTATTAGTTATTTAATTGGTTTGTTTGTTTATTCTTTTTGATGCTTTTTACTTTATAATTTATCGTTTGTTTGATTATCAACCTCATCATGAAGAGATGTTTGTGGTTTTGTTTTTGAACATTTTGGAGTTGGTTTGATTTGATATTTATGAAAAGGGTGTCGTAAGTTACTTGTATACTTTGATTTTTGGTGCTAAAATTACAAGAGGTGATTCTAATTTCTCTTTGGATTATTTGGATGTTTTGATACAAATCCTTTTTAGAGATATAAGATGAGAAATGATTCATTATGTATATATCATTGATTTGTATGATAGCTGTTAGGGTTAAGGGTGTTGTATTTTATATGGATAGAGTTGGAGAATCACCTCTTATAAAATTGGAGTTAATGTTATAAAAGTCCTTAATCTTTGCCTTCGATTTGCAATTTACCATAACATTTCTTTTGTTACTCTATTACCATTAATTTTGAGAAAACGTTTCATTTCTTAAGGCCATGGGGTATATAACACGCAAAGCGATCCTCAAACTTTGATAGATCATATAACACGCAAAGATTAGTAGAAATTAATGGTAGAAATTTTGAGTAAACGTTTCATTTGAAGATCGCTTTCGTATTAGTAGAAATTTATTTCTACGTATAGCTAGAGATTTAGAAAACAATTATGAGTTCTTCCAATTGAGATGAGATGCTAGGGGTAAACATGGGTTTACTACGTTTCAAAAATGCACAACAGCTCTTAGACAATTAGCGTATGGCATAGCCGCATATGCTTCAGATGAATATTTGAAGATGTCTGCGAGGACCGGTCGATAATGCACATATCTTTTTTGTGAGTATGTAATAGAGCTTTATAACGATATATACTTGCGAAATCCGACCAGAAATGATGTCGAACAGTTGTAAGCCGCATATCAGGCTAAACATGGATTTTCAGGAATGCTAGGTAGCATTGATTGTACACATTGGGTGTGCGAAAATTATCCCAATGTATGGCGAGGGCAATTCACACGAGGTGATCATGGTGTGCCTACTGTTATACTAAAAACAGTTGTTTCACGGAACCTCTGGTTTTGACATGCATTTTTTGGTATGACAGGGTCAAACAACGACCTGAATGTTCTTGGAGCATCTCCATTAGTTAACGATATTTTGCAGGGTAAAGCACCAAACATACCATACGTTATTAATGGACGTGAATACAATCATTGATATTACCTTGCTGATGGGATATATCCAGAGTACGCTACATTTGTCAAATCATACACATATCCAGCTGATGAAAAAAAGAAATTGTTCAAATTAGCACAGGAATTTGCAAGGAAGGATGTGGAGCGGACATTTGGGGTCCTCAAACAGAAGTGACACATAATCAAATATCCAGCACGAGCATGGGAAAGGGAAAAATTGATGAAGGTGATGAAAGCATATGTTATTTTATATTACATGATCTTACGTATACTCCGAATGATATGCTCAATCCACCTGCAGTAATACAAGTCGGCAGCCCAGCATACTTTACAAGGCTTTTAGAAATACAGAATAGTGAAACACATCATAAATTTTATGTTATTAGTAAAAAGTACGTTGAATTTAAAAAATATCACTTTTTATGTTTATCAATGTTTATTTTATTAGTAAGCATGTATGTTGAATTTAAAAATATTATTTTTATTTTTATTAATGTGTTTTTTGTTAATGTTTTATTGTGTTTTTTATTTAATATAATATAAAAAAATAATAAATAAAAAAAGAAAAACATTGTGGAGTGATAACCATTTTCAAGGATTAGTAAATATGTAGTGAATATGTAAGTGTGGTGATGTGGCGCATATGTTACATCACTTTTCTAATAAATATCTAGTGACCATACCTCATGACCTAAGTTGTAAAAGGATACTGCTGACATGGCGTTTCGCTACATCTGTTTTGCATTGAATTGCTTGAATTGTCAGTGTGGCATGCTGATTAGATCGTTCAAGTCAATCCAAGCAAAAAAAAGAGATAGAACAGGTGGGTGAGTTTTGAATCTTAAGAAAACAAGACAAATGCTAGTGAGCCAAAGGGACTCATTAACTAATTTGCGACATTAAAAAATTGGTGGGCCACTCGCATGAAAAGGGTTATGAGGCTTGCTTGTTTGCCAATGAGCTAATAGTCGGGCACTCGAGCGTTTGAGATCTTATTTTGAAATAAAAAAGTTTTTTTTTTTTGCTAAAAATGATTTATTAACTTATTACATTAACTAATTTGCGACATTAAAAAATTGGTGGGCTACTCGCATGAAAAGGGTTATGAGGCTTGCTTGTTTGCCAATGAGTTAATAGTCGGACACTTGGGTGTTTGAGATCTTATTTTGAAATAAAAAGGATTTTTTTTTTTTTTTTTGCTAAAAATGACTTATTAACTTATCACATTAACTAATTTGCGACATTAAAAAATTGGTGGGCCACTTGCATGAAAAGGGTTATGAGGCTTGCTTGTTTGCCAATGAGCTAATAGTCGGGCACTCAGGCGTTTGAGATCTTATTTTTGAAACAAAAAGGATTTTTTTTTATTTTTTATTTTTCATTATTTTTTTTTTGCTAAAAATGACTTATTAACTTATCATGTTAACTAATTTGCGACATTAAAAAATTGGTGGGCCACTCGCATGAAAAGGGTTATGAGGCTTGCTTGTTTGCCAATGAGCTAATAGTCGGGTATTCGGGCGTTTGAGATCTTATTTTGAAATAAAAAGGATTTTTTTTTAATGACTTATTAACTTATGAAGATGACAAAATGAGTATTTAAAAATGTGTTTAGATTTAATGAGAAAAAACAATAACTCAATGAGTTAAAAAAAATATTTGATTTAAAATTGTCTTTATTTGTTTTTTTTATTCCAATAAGTTATAAGTCATTTTAAAAAAGATAAATTTCATCAAATAACCAAAAGAAAGGAGGTGTTTGAACATTTTGACTATAAAAATTTGATTTTTGTAGAATAACCAAGGGATCCTCAGAGGGGGCTTTGTGAATGCCTTTTACATTCTGAGGAATGTGAATAGAAACGAGGAATTGAAGTGGCAGGAGAAAAAGACAAAAAAAAAAAAATAATGATTTGTTGCATAGTTCCTTTGAGGGGGCTCTGAAGAAAGATGGTTGAGGCTCTGAGGGTCTGTTCTTCATCAACACACTTCTGAGAAACTGTTATTCGGTTAACCATAACAAAAATTGGAATATTGAGGACTTTTTCTAGAGTATATATTTTGAATAATCTTGTTATAAACATTTTGAAGTAATTAGTTATTAATCAAATCAAATATTAAACTCCTAAATGAATGCATCACTTTAATTCTAGGAATATCGATTAAATAATTATTACGCAATTTTAATTTAAGAAAATAAACCATGACAAAAATCGGGATTTCATTAGCCGAAGAATAGTTTCTCAGAGGTGTCTGATGAAGAACAGATCCTCAGAGCCTTAGCTACCTTTCCGCAGAGCCCCCCCCCCCCCCCCCCCCCCCCGAACTATGCAACAAACCATTTTTTGTCTTTTTCCCCAACCACGTCAATTCCTCGTTACTATTGACATTAATCAGAAGGTAAAAGGCTTTCGCACAACCCCCTGTGAGGATCCCTTGGTCATTCTACAAAACTCAATTTCATGATCAAAATGTTCAAACACCCCATTTCTTTTGGTCATTTGATGAAATTTCTATAAAAAGTCACAATTTGTTACTTATGGAAAACTTCTTTTCGAAGACTAATAAAAAGGAGTTCTAAAAGTCCTTATTAGGTATTAAAACACTTATTAATTTTAACTAATTGATTTTTCAAGAAATCAATAAGTTAATAAGGAATTTTTAGATGAATACCCAAAGATGTTTATCTTTTAAAAATTTCAAATTTGATTCAACTAACCAAGAAAGTGGGAATTACAATGCATCCAAATCCATTTTTTTCCCATTTTAATAGGGGACTGAACCGATATTTTAGAAAAGAAATGGCATAAATCATCTGAATTTTAGAATATAAAAAACCTTAACATGGACAGTAGTCTTTTGGTATGATAGGCTTGTAGTCATGTTAAAAGAAATGGATTAAAGGGGCGTAACACCCACATCTCCCTTGATAGCTTTGTTATTGCCTTCATCTCATGGTCATTTTCGTCGTTAGACAACACCTAGCACTCAAATACTGTTTTCCTCACATCTACGTATTTGACCAGGTTTTATATATTTAATTTAAGTTATGGGGATCTTCTTTTCATTATTTATTTATTTTACTTTTTCGATTCGTTGGTCCTCTTGACAATAAGATAATTTTGATCATGTGTATCGATTATCGATATCGTCTACACTATTATGAATGTTTAGAATCTAGTTTGATTTGTTCATTATATATGGAAAAAAGACAACATAGACTAATAAGATAATTATGAATTATATATATATATATATATATATATATATATATATATATATATATATATATATATATATATATATATATATATATATATATATATATATATATATATATATATATATATATATGGAAAAGTTCAATAGAAAACCATAATTATTGGTTCTTTAAAAAACTAAATCTTTTTTTCAATTTCTAAAATTTATTCTTTATCGGAAAAAAAAAAATCTAAAAATATCTAAATTCATATATTAACATTGTGAATGTGAAAAATATTTTTCGAATTCACGTTGTCAATTACGGTTCTAAAAGGTGAAAAAAAGATTGGTTTGTTGGTTAATTACGGTTCTCTGTTGGAAAAATGACAAAAATGGTCCCTGTGGTTTCTTATTTTTTGTGGTTATGGTCCAAACGTTTGAAAAATTGCAGATTTGGTCCTTTTCAATAAGTTTTGTTGTGGTTTTAGTCCCTCATCCGTTAAGTTCCTTAAAATGACAATTTTACCCCCAGGGACCATTTTCACAGTTTTGTCTATTACTATACTATAAGGACCATTTTTGCATATATTCTATTTTATTTTAATAAAGTATTATATATTAATAGATATTATTTTTAATATATAACATTATATATTAATAAATATTTTTTATTGGATTATTAATTTATTTTAGTTGATTTAAAAAAAAAATTGTTGGAGTAATTTTTTTATTAAATTATTATATATCAATACATATAGTTTTTAATATATAATATTTATATCATAATAAATATTTGGATTATTAATTTTTTTAGTTAATTTTTGTAATTTTAATTATTTTTTATTGTATTATTACATTCAATTTATTATTTTCTTCATATACTAAATGTTGTTTTATTGGATTATTAATTTATTTTAGCTAATTATTTTTTTAATTTTTTTTATCGAAGTAATTCTTTTTTATTGAATTATTATATATCAGTACATATAGTTTTTTATATATAATATT